GGGGGGGGGGGGGGGGGGCATGCTCATGTTTTGCACGCCTTTGTTGTTAGACCGTTGACCACGCGTCCTCGAGAGGACGGAGAATATGGGGGGGGGGCGACAGATGCGGGCACGGGAGGACAGGATGACGACAACGCGGTCTCCTATCAGTATGTCACAGAAAGAAAACGAGATATGCGAAGGCATCGTGTTGGAGAGGGCGAGAAGCCCCTTGAGCTAGCGGCAGCCCCTCCCCGCACACGAAAATGCATAGGATTATTGGTGTGTGGATGGAGAGCAAGGGGAGTGGGAAGATGTGAGCCTGTCCGTTTGGCAGCACACGTCCCCGCCTGAGAAAAAAGCGACGTCACACCCATCCACTCCCCTTCAATAGAAATACAGTCGTCGGTGTAGCGGTTCCCTTGTTAGCGGGATGCCCTGAAGAGCGGTTCCAAAATCTCGTGGCACGGCTGCGCCTCGTTAGTCAAGCCATACAACAGACAACCCGGTTTAGCGGTGATGCCCTCAAATTACAACATTTTGTGACACTATGACCGCGAAACCGGGATCACGGGGCTGCTGTAGTAATTTTGTTTTGATCCATTCTGTAGCTCCTCCCTCCCGCGCTCAAATCAGAACATTTTGTGACACTATGGACCGCAAGACCGGGGTCATGACTGTACGGTCAACAGGGGGTTGCTGTAGCAATTTTGTTGACGAAAGAAGTGCTTCCATTCTGTGTAGCCCCTCCCTCCCCCCTGAACTTCTGTTGTTTAGCAACGGGAAGATGTGGAGGCAAGGCAAACCCTAACAAAAATACTGCGCTGAGGGTACCTCGTAAAGAAGGAACTTCAAAGAAGAGAGAACGAACCATTCGACGTAGTGCGGCAAGATCGTCCACCTACCACTTCTGCTCCCCTTTCCTCGCCACAAACACATCACCTCGGGGATAGAAGGCGATCACCCCCCGCGCGCGCGCGCGCCTCCTTCTATGCACACCCAAGCTCGCAAGGTGTGAGTGGAGGGCTTGGAAAGTGGGTTTTGAAGGCCGTCAGGGTTGTTGCAGCGATCGATAAACAATGAATCACCTCACCTCCACCCTAGACTCCGCACTGCTGTGCAGCAGCCCCAAGAACTCTTCCTGGAGCTGCTCCAGCTCCCGCCTGGTGCACACCAGATCCTGCCGGACAGACGGGCGGAGGGAGGGAGGGAGGGAGGGAGGGAGTGCGGAATGTGGTGTCAAAAGGCGTAGCTAACACGAAGAGTGCACGGCAACACCTCCAGAAGCCGCCTCCGCCGCCGTTACTTCGACAGTCAGATCTGCAGCAAATGCTGCTGCCGCCACAAACACGTTTTTCACAAGCTCATCTGCGACAAACGCCAATGCGCGAGCTATCACGTCCCCATCGCAGACTCCTACAAGATACTGGTGTACCACCACGAAGCAGCCAAAACATATGCACCTGTTCAGGGACGCTGACGTCCAGCCTCTGCTGCAGCCGCAGCAGCCTCGCCGACGCGCCGGCCTTCCACTGCTCCAGGTACAGCACCCTAGTCTTGCCCGCCGTCGACATCTCTAGGAAATCCCGCTCGGACGCCGCCCTGGCCTCGGCCTCCACCTGAAGCAATAACCACCACACACGCTTGAGGGTATGAGTACCAATACTACCGCCACAATGTCAAGCAGGACGTTGCTCAAACAGGACAACGCGCAGTCAAATCCGAAATCGAACCACTACTAGACTAATCAACGGCTGACTAATCCAATGCGATGATTTCGGCCTCAGTAAAAGGTACTTCGTGGGGTCCGAATGCCCCCGACGCGTACACTCCGTCTCAAAACAAGGTGGTGTGTAGTCAACGGTCAAATGAAATGTACACAGGAACCAACAAGCGACACGGCCATCCCCACCTGAAGCTGCTCCTTCACGGAGGTAAATCTCCTCGCCATGACCGCCTCGTTAACCTCCAACACGGAAACCTTACGGCTCAGGTCGCGGAGAGCTCTGCGCCGAAATACCGTGCGTGCAGGGCAAGAAAAAGATAAAAATCAAGACACAAAAACTGAAGAAGCCAGAGAAAAAAACATTGAAAAGAAGATGCACCAAAAACCAACATGTACCGCGAGAAAGGCTGCAAAAGAACAAGACTATCGTAGTACTACTGCACGTACGGTGTTGTGCCAGGTTCAGCATTTTGGGCGTCGTGTGTGTGCGCGCGGTTATTCGGTGAGCATCGACCGCGGCTGAACAGTGAACTGTCCCCAGCTTTAGCCAGACAGCCTCTCCCCCCCCCCACTCCTTCTATTCCGCGTGCCCCCTCCCCCCTGCGGGGAAGCCGCATAGACGACGGAACGGAGACCGGAGGGCCCAGCCCTTTGATGCATCGGAAGAAGACAACACCGAGAAACCAACACCAAGCACTCATGTGTTATGCCGAATGTGTCCTCGTCGGCAGAAATCCTTGGCAATATATTTACGCTCCCCCCTTCCACCCCACGCAACGAACGTCAACGACCTTAAGCCTCGGGCTCAGCTCCAAAAGGAGCAGGAGCAGGAGCAAGAGGAAGAGGAAGAGGGGGGCCACATTGGGGAGGCTCAGCGGTTGCGGGGTAGTAGAACCATTGGATAAACAGCCTGTGTTTCGTCCTTATACAAAAAACCACGGGCGATACGTCGAGTCGAATCTCCGTCGGAACAAGCTGAGACTTACGACTGACAACCTATCTCGCTCCTATTTACCCCAGGTTGCACAAGACACCACACCCCCTTGACCTATCTTCGGAGCTCGATTACTCCGTAGGACAAACAGTGACGGTGTCAAGTGACGTATCATTTGGTTGTGACATCCTCTTGGTCGCGGAGGTTTATTCGGGCTTTGAAAATCAGCCCAGAGGGTGTGGTATCTTACGTCATGTCATGTCACCTACGGCATGAACCACCAACACTTGAAGCACGCGGCACTCCCATCGCCTTGGCCAGAACAGCACACCAACCACGATATGTACACGCAATTTTTTTTCCACGTTTCTTTTCATGAAATAAACCGGTTGAGGACGGGGGGGTGGCAGTGCCGTGACTCTTTGTCATATTCGATACGCAGACTATACCTCCCTTGCCCGCACTCTCCACAATTCGATGCGCAGGCTACACCTCCCGTGCCCGCAGAACGAGTACACGGGAGGGGTCAGTCACCTTTCTGGCTTTAATATAAACTACACATCCGCACAACCGAACCAACCTGTGGGGCGCCGTGGGGTCGTCCGCGGCCTCGTCCTCCACATCCAGGACCTCCTGCAGCCGCCTCGCCCGCACGGCGAGGGCGTCCCTCTCCTCCCGCAAAACGCCCGCCTCCGCCTTGGACGCCTTCTGCTTCTCGTCGAACTCCTTCTCGCGGTCGGCGTGATCGCGGTAGAGAGCGGCCACCTGCGCCCGCATGTCGGACAGGTTTCTCTCGTACCTACGCCCGACACGTGGGGGGCGGTGGGGGGGGGTGGGGGCAAGTACAGTAGAGGAGGGCTGGTGGGATGTACTAATACTGTCCGGTTCCCTCACCAATGGTTGAGCAGTGCCACTAAATTACCCGGTAAACCGTTGGCTGCACAAGGTATCACACCCCCTGGACCGATTTTCAAAGCTCGATTACTCGGCAGGAAAAGCAGTGACGGTGCCGAAAATAGCGGCGTTGGAACCGTCTCGTTGAGAGCTTTAATATCCTTTGATTTTCGGCATCCTCTTCATTGTGGAGTAATTGAGCTGTGAAAATCGGTCCAGGGGGTGTGGTATCTTACATCATGTCATGTCACCTACGGTAGTGTCGGTTGAACGACGTCATTCACACAGGTTCCGGTCATGGTGTTGTCACCCTGAACCATCTCGCCCAAGCTCGAAACCCGGTCGCCCCGGTGGTCTAGTTGGTATCCTCGCAACCTTCTAGAGGTCAGGTCAGGGGTTCGAATCCCGGCGTAGGCGAGCTTTTCTTGCAAAGTGAGTTTTTCTCTCGCTTCCGCTCCTGGCCTAGTGGATAGCGCTAGTTCGTGTGTACACAGAGGGAAGAGAGTGCTGAACTCTTCTCGCATTAAAAATCGCAGGCAAAGTACCGCAGAAGGGGAGGGTAGAGAGGGGCTCTTCTGTGTGACCACGGGTTGATTTGAAGTGAAGACAAAAAAAAAAAAAAAAAGCTCGAAACCCGGGTTCCACTCCTATCCCGTTGTCGCCGTCGATTCCGTTTCCAACCTTTGCGTTGACGCGGCTACCATGCACAGACATCCACCAGGAGCATGTTGAAACCCTTGGAATGTGTGGGGTCTCTCAATAAACGCCCGTTGCCACTGCCCGGTCATGTGTGGCGGACACACATACCGGCAGTACTGAAAGGCCCCCACGGCTTCACACGCACACCTACAACATGTATTCAGGTTCTCTGACTCCTCAACCAGGTTTTAGTCCCCACAAAGACAAGGCACCGGGTCAACAGACCCCCCTAGCCGTTCGCGCCACAGAACTCCCTCCGCACGCCGCCTGTTTCGTCGTCTCGATTTTCACGCGCGCATCTTCGGTGGCAGCAGCTGTTTTCGATTATCCAACACCCTGCCCACAGGCCTACGAAGTGCGACCGACGCGCTATCTCTCCCCCCGCCCTCCCAAGGAGAACTGCCCATCTGCAGTCTAGCGTCCAGCCACAAGATCGCATCCTCGCGCGCACTTCGAGCAATAAATAGCTCCACATTCCCGATCCTTGGACACACATACACAGAGGCGGACAAAACGAGCCGGAAAATACCAACAAAACCGTGCCCCCCACCCCCCCTTGGAAAACTCGCCTAGGCGTCTCGCCCGTCACCGCGCTATCCTTGAAGCCAACCACCCACCGAACCACCCACCTGACGATCAACTCCTCGTGCTCGTCCAGCTCCGCCTCCCTCTCTCGCAGCTGCTCCAGGGCCTCGACGAGCTGCGCGTTGATGTTCCTGACGTCCTCGGCCCACTCTTCCGGGGGGAGGTTTAGTCGCCTTAGCTGCCATCGGAGAGCTTCCTGCCCCTGCAACACCAACAACAAACACCATCAACAACACACGATCAACGAGAACAACAGGGGCGGTGTCAACCGAGAACAACATAGAGAGCACGAATTCGAGTACTGTACCCAGCACGCAAGGCGCCGTAAAAGGGCCCCGTGAGTCAATCGGCGTGGAGTCCCTTCCCATGAGTTTCTCGTTCTGCTTCGAAGACGCGCCGAGAGCACGATCACACTGAAATACAACTGCTGACTTGTCCAGTAACCCCGTCACCTGAGCGGTCTTAGGCCCCCCCTGCTGCTGTGGCTTCTCGGAAAATTCCTCCGCGCTCCCGGTCGCGGGAGCGGGAACACCCCCCCCCCTGCCGCCCCCCTCCGCCTCTTCCAGGGTGGTACCACCCTCCTTCATTCCGCGGACCCCCTCCCCGCCCGCGGCTTCCCCTCGGGAAGCACCTGTCGTTGCAGGAGCGTGGAAATCACTGGGCACCACACCGCCTCCGTCGCCGTCGCCGGAAACCCCACGGGGATGGGAGGGTACCGTCCCCGGGTTTCTAGCGGCTTTGGCGGTGTTCTTGTTGGCGAAGCCTCCGGCCACGAGCTGACGAAGGTCTCCCATCTGGGCGAGAAAAGCACCGGGGGTTTGGGGGGGGCAGTACAGTATTGGGGTTGTAGCTGTTGCATGAACATTGCTCGCCTGGGGGAGGAAGGAGTAAACAGGGAGGAAGGGAAAAAACAGCAAGAACGACAGCGCAAATGGCAACATAAGAGAACCACACACTTAAATACGGATACGAAGATTGCACGAGTGAAACCTTTCCGGCACCTTACCGCGTGCTTTGGCATGCTCCGCCACATGGAAACGATGCAGGAAGCCAGCGACCGGTTATAAACAATCGGGTGGCAAACGTTACGTCTTAAAAGCACACCGAAAACACTAAAATGCTGCATCTCCAATATAGGGAACCACGTTGTCGTCCAGTCAACGCGCCACCCAACCCTCCTCCCGCAACCCTCCCCACCTCCGCAATCAAGCGCTGCATGTCGGCCTGGACCGCAGCAGCGGGCTCGCTCTTGTCCTTATCCTTATCCCCTCCTGCCGCCGCCGCCGCCGCCGCCGCCGCCGCCGCCGCCCGCCCGCCACCCACCGCTCTACTAGCACGCCGGGCAGCCTCCCGGGGGCTGTCTTTCCTCGCCATGAGAGTCTGCAGCTGGCGCATGATAGTCTCGTTCACGCGGGTCAGCTGCTCCACCCGCTTGTCCGCCTTCGGACATCGATTGATCGATACGGAAGGGACAATGCGTTGGTTGGCACACGGGGAGGGAGGGAGGGATGGGCATGTCAGGGAAATAGGCATAGCCCGCCCGCTCGGCGGTGTACCTCGCTGCCGGTCTAAATAAAAATAAACAAAACAACAGCAGCAAATGAGCGAAAAAACAGCAACCTCATGAAACATTTGCCGGGTACTTGTCATAGCGCGAATCACAGCCCATCCCAGCTGCAGCAATATGTGGATCAGTCGAGGGGGTTGGTGAGGGGCAAAGTAGTAGGGGTGGGGGGCGAAGACGGCGGGTTTGTAGAGAGCTTCTCCGCCTTTCTTCTTCCTTCCTGCTCTTGCCGCACAGCTCCAACGTCGAGGAAAAAAGCATCACGCTAAATACTCATAAAGCACTGGAACATGGCGCCTCGGTACGGAGATACAGTGTTTACAAAAAAGAAAAAAACATGCCTCTTTATCGCTGTAAATTAGCACTCACGCCACACACACACTTCCTTGCACGCACTGTATCTACCAGAAAGTACTCGAGTAGAAGACACACCCTGGCAACCAACAAGCATATAAGAGACACTCCCCATGCAACAACGACCCACTATGTATCAACGGCGCGCGTACCGCTTCTTGCTGCAGCTTGCTCGAGGCCTCCATCTCTTCCACAGCTCTCTGCTCCTTCGCGCCAGCCTCCTCTGCGCCGCCGTCGACAGGGGTAGGTTTACCGCTACCGTCTCCTGCTGTTGCGCGGGCGTCTCCTGCGAGGTAGGGAGGGGGAAGCGGCGGGGCGTAACACTCTTTTGGAGTAGACAAGTGACTTGCGACGGAAGAGCGCCACACTGACAGCGACACCAACACATCGACAATATCATCCAACGACTACAACAGCACACAGCAGCACCAGCAGCAGCACCAGCACAAGAGCAGTGATATCAACAACAATTTCAATTCGTATTTTATGTCCACCTGCGCCACTCTTGACAGCCATGGCCGTCAGCGCCTCCCTCAGCGACCTATTCTCTTTGGTGAGCTGGTCCAACTCTTCACGGCTGGGCAGCACCCCAGCGCCTTCCTCAGCCACGTTTCCGCCTGCGTTCCGGGGGGGGGGGTGTACTTAGAGTCGTGCATGCCGTAGTCGTTAGACCATTGACCTCGCATCCTTGCAAAGCCGGGACGGAGGCCGCCGGGTTCTCACCGGACCAGGCTCTCACATCGCCACGCGCGAAGCGCCGTGAGGTATTCGGCGAGTCGCAGGAAGGGTGCGCTGCATCCTGCTAAGGGTGTTCGGCATCTTGTGCTTACTTCCTTGCGTACGGATGACAGCTGCGTATGACTTAATTTAATTTCTGGTGCTTTCACTTCCAGAGACAGTTGTAAGCACTGTGTAGCTGCCTCGAGGATGCTTGGCCATTTTAACACAACGTGGTGCGATTATCCCCTTTGCGCGGAGTGAGGGTTCTCCACCCCGCGCAACATTATCTACTCGACCACCATTATGGTTACCGCCAAAAAAAAAAAACCGAGGTAAAAAAAAAAACGGTAACCTGGTTGCCGAGTTCACGAAGTGAATTGGCTTGTTTTACAACGTCTTTGCCAAGCGACGAAAACCCAATCCCGATGGCAAACACCGAGGGGTGGGCTTGTTTTACAACGTCGTTGCCAAGCGACGAAAACCCAACCCCGATGGCCAACACCGGGGGTTGGGAGGGGGGGGGGTAGAAACGATGGCAGATCTAGCTTTCGATACTGTAGGTGCAAACTGCTCGCGAGGGAGCAGCAACAACCCGGCGTTTAGACTCGATGAGCATGCTTGGTTGACGATGGCATGCTTCGACAACCCAGTGTTAGACTCGACGAGCATGCTTGGTTGAGATGAAGTGCACGAGACTGAAAAACTGATTCTTCCACCACTGCCACCACCAACGTTTTTAACTCCCCCCTCTCGCCCCAGCGCACCCTCCCCTGAAGGATTACCTCACGGCGCTTCGCGCTTGGTGGTGTGAGAGCCTGATCCGGTGAGAACCCTGCGTGCTCCCTCCCGGCTTCGTAGGGATGCGAGGTCAATGGTCTAGCGACTACGGCATGCACAACATGCACGTTCTTTAGTATATAGGGGGTAATCAACCAAGGTCTCCACCCCCCCCCCCCCCCCC